GAAAATCCGGGTAATAGGAGGTTATATTAATACTTTTCATTGAATAGTAAGACTTCATGTCATGTGGGTCCTTTCTCTATCATTTTGGTCCTAGTTTCATACGAGTATGATCATAAGATTTGTAGAAATTTATCTTCCTCGGTTTTTTAGGAGCCATTAGTTAGGGCCGAGCAAAATAACTTGAAAACCGAATATTTGATTTGTAATCAATCTGAAAATTAGAGTACTTAATCCAATAATTATAACGATTTGGGTATCTGATCCAATAATTTGTTATCGGCGGGTATGATTATTGGGCATCATTTTAAAATTAATGGTTATCCGATTCCATATGATATATAATAAGCAATTTTTTGTGTTTTTTTTTCCTATTTAAATTTGTTTATCCAAAATTAAACTTTTACTTTACTTCATAATCACTTTATAATACGAATGATTAGTAATATTATTAATAATTTGGTCAAGTTCATGTGGTATTGTTGTTAATTAGTGTTGAATGATATCATAATAACTGCATTATCAAGTTTAATTATCATTTTCGGATATCTTATTGGGTACCCGATAACCGATCCGAAAATCAGGGTACTCGATCGAACTTATCGGTTCAATTTATGGATATCACTTTTAGGCCCTGTTCTTTTGAGCTGCTCTGCTCTACTGAAATATGCTCTGCTCTGCTCTACTTAAAAATAACAATTAATAATAATAATTATTATTATTATTTAATGATAATAATAACTAATATGTATAGATAATAATAAATAATATTTAATGATATAATAATAATTAATATTTTACAATAATAATAATAATTAATGACTAATATTTAATGATAATAATTAATATTTTATACTATTTAACACATTTTCTAATGTTATCAAAAGAGGAAAAGAATCTAAAAAAAATCAAATAATAATAATAATAATACTTTTATTAATAATAATAATAATAATACTTTTATTATTAATAATAACAATAATAATAATAATATTAATAATAATAATAATATTAATAATAATAATAATAATAATAAAATAATGCTATAATAATAATAATAGTAACAATTATAATAATATTATTGTTATTATTATTAATAATGATAATATAAATAATATTTACAATAATAATAATAATAATAATAATAATGTGATAATAATAATAATAGTAATAAATAGTAAATAATTAATGATAATAATGCGATAATAATAATAATTATTCCTGACTTTGTTCCTGGACGGGTTGTGGCTGATGCGGCTCATCGGAAGTGGGTCAAGTACGAATCCTGTTGGCGGCTCATAAGACGGGTTGTCGGGCAATTGGATATGGCTTCCTTCCTTTCTCTTTCTCTTCACGTGAGGAATTAGAGAAGGAGGCAGTTGCATTGCTGAAGCAGATCTAGAAGTTCTCGAAGACTCGGGACATTGGGGCACATGTTGCTGCTCATATCTTCATTATGATAGGATTTGCTATAGCTAGAGGAGTGAGGACCCAAATTGTATCTTGGCTTCCCACTATATTTTTGTAGGTTGTATGAGTTTGTCTATTTTTGAAATATAATAATAATAATAATGAAATTTGCTCTGCCCCGCCCTGCTCTGCTTTGCGTTGCTTTGTCTTGCTCTACTCTGCTCAGAAGCTCAAAAGAACAGGGCCTTAGTGTTATTGGTTATCGGTTACTCGAACCGTTAGTGTTAACAGTACGGGTACCTGACCCATGCTCACCCCTACCATTAGTTATGCCCTTAGTGGTGGTTACTAATCATAAAGTTACAAATCTTATACTTGTAACTTATGGAGTTTATATGTGAAGTTTGACTACATTTCAATTAAAATTAATTGACCAAGAAAAAAAGATGGGTTAAGTAAGCAAGGATTAGGAATTTTAGGATGTGTTCGGCTCATCTACTTTTTTACTAATTTTTTTTAAAAAAATTCCAATATTGTATAGAGTTTTTAATATTATTTTTATCGCTTAATTAAATATGTTAGTGATATATAGATAATCATAAATTCAAAAATACTTACTCAAATAAATCCAAAAATACATAGTATAATATAATTTGATATGATCTAATCATTTTTGAAATAAGCGAATGTTTGCATGGATTGAATATGACATAGCCAAGAGCCATTATGTTAAGTCCAACTAAAAAACAACACATAAAAACTTAAAAAAATAGAGGAAATATAATTAAAATAAGCCAAGTAATATTATTGAGAAATGCAACAAAATGACAATGTTTTCCTCCATTTGCAAATTATGATTTTTTTGTGGCCATCTATAGATCCATGAGATGGAAGAAGCCATGCATGATATTTGTTAGGGATCAAAAAAATTGGAAGCAAGAAATCACATGGCAAGTACTGAATTAGGTCACTTAGATGGTCCTACGAGAAAGATGGAAATGCAATAATGAAAGTCCCTCCACTCCGTATGATGTTTGATATCGGAAGAGCATTACCCTACGAGGGGAAGCACTATGGACCCCAATTTCTATACTTGCCCATAATTTCATCCTTAACTATACTTCTACCTTAGTAGCTCAAATCATGCACATAAAAAGGTCTTGTAGTATAATTACTCAATCAACTTTGTGTCCTACGTCAATTTCACTTTTTTCATGTTATATCTTTTCATATTGTTATTAGATTTGTGGTACATATTGTGATTTGGCGATGTGGGCTAAAATAGGCTGAATGCAATTATGTAATACGGAGTACAGATTAGGAAATAGTGGGGTACTAGTATAAAACTCGTGTAATTGCACAGTTTTAAAAGTTTAAATACTAAATTTTATAAAATTTAAACAATAGTTAATTTAATGGGGGGATTTTTCTGTGTGGTCAGGATTACTCGAGTAACTCGGCCAGGGGTAACTCGGTCAAGGGTTACTCGAGTTACTCCTGACCGAGTAACCCCTCGAGTAACCCCTGAACGAAAATCCCTCAAGTAACCCCTGACCAAACCCTCAAGTAACCCTTGACCGAACCCCTCAAGTAACTCATAACCGAGTAACCCCTAATCGAACCCCTCAAGTAACCCCTAATCGAACCCCTCAAATAATCCCTGACTGAGTAACTCGAGTAACCCCTTACCGAATAACTCGAGTAACCCCGACCACACGGTGTGGCCAGCCACGTATAAAAAAATTTCTAATTTAATTTACAATATTGAAAACCTATATAACAATATAAATCACAATAATATGCAACCATTTATCACAATAATTACTCATTATGATATTTTCAATTTAATGTTTTAAAAAAATAAAGACATATTAAAGATATGAATAATAAGTTTCATGGCCTTTATATATTTCGATTATATTATACCTTTAATCATTATATGTCTATTTACATGTCTCATGTATTACACTTTATGTGTATGTTTATTTAAATCAAGCTAATAAAACATACATTCTTCGTTCCATAAGATTGTCATAGTTTAAAAAAAAAATCTAATTTACAAACGTCCATATTGTACATTTTTATCTTAAAATGATCAAAAGTTACACCAATATAAATAAAAATTATCATGATGTATCTATTTAATGTAAACCCTATATCTAATTATCTGTCAATATTTTAAAATCTAACATCAACACTTTAATATCTGACATCAACACTTAAATATTTTGATATCACTATATTTAATATCAGATATCAAGATTTAATTTTAGTATTTGGTATCAAAAGTAATTAATATGGAGTATCTGATATTAAAACTTTAATATTAGATATCAACAATTTAATATATCTAATATAGTAGCTTAGCATCTTCATCATTATCATGAAAATCATATCAACACTCCATACACTTGAAGTTGCTTGGCGTCACACATAGTGATACCCACATTTCCTAACCTCTTATAAGGTCTCCCTATAAAGATCAAACCCACTATTCACCTTCAAAATCATATCTTAATAACCAAATCATTCCGTATGATTTTCATATACTACGTAATATCAAATGTATACTTATTATTTATAATATCTTTCAAGAATATTTGCATATTTGTCACATATTTCACGTATAATTTTTTTTTTGAGGACTTGCACATATAATTTAAGATAAAAAAAAAATTATGCAATTTTGTCACATAAGATCTAATTTATTCGTAAGATATTTTAAAATCTTCTAATAATTGATCTCATAAGTATAGGCTAGTTTATCTTTTAAAAAGTGAGTTAATCTTTTAATAACTAAGTTAACCTTTCAATTATTTTAATAATTGATCTAATTAGTTATAATAGGGAGGGATTGTAAGTATATACTTTATAAAATAATCTAATAACGTTAATGTTATATTTTTTTGTAATATGAATATATGAATACCATACTTTATTTTGCCTTGCACGAATATATATTTTTCAGTTATATGAATGTATTATATTAGATTATTATGTAAATATGAATATATTATAGTAGATTTTTTGTAAAGTTATTTTGTAAATATAATGAATATAATATACTATATTTTTTTGCCTTGTAAGAATATATTTTTTAGTTATATGAATATACATATTTATAGTATATTGTGATATCACAATTTTACTTGATATATTTAGAGGTGGAAAAATGAGCGAGAAAGTTTTTAAGCATAGAGTGACACGTGTCAAAGTGTAGCTTGAGTGCCCTCTGTTTTACTATAGTTATTATTTTGTAAAGTTATTTTGTAAATATAATGAATATATATTATACTATATTTTTTGTCTTGCAAGAATACATTTTTTTAGTTATATGACTATACATATTTATAGTATATTGCGATATCACAATTCTACTTGATATATTTAGAGGTAGAAAAATGAGCGGGAAAGTTTTTAAGCATAGAGTGACACGTGTCAGGGTGTAGTTTGAGTGCCCTCTGTTTTAGTATAGCTATTATTTTGTACAGTTATTTTGTAAATGTAATGAATATATTATACTATATTTTTTGTGAAATATATATCTGCCAATTTCTTCATGAGTTTAGGGGCAGCGACCTCACTAGAATTACTCAAAATGTCAGACTCCACCGTTCGATTGAACAGGCTCAACGCATCCTCAAAAGCTCGACCAAGACCAACAACGTCAGCATGTCGTAGAAGCTTTGTCTGCAACCCAGCAGACTGCAACCGTGAAGCAAGAAAAACATAATGACGAACATCACCTGCGGAATAAACACCAAGCCCGCCATACACGAAAGGTAAGGTGGCAAGCCGCCACTGCCAATCACCAAACCCAGGCCCTATTATTATTATTATTATTATTGTTGTTGTTGTTGTTGTTGTTGTTGTTGTTGTTGTTGTTGTTGTTGCTGTTGTTGTTGTTGTTGTTGCTGCTGTTGTTATGATTATTATTATTACTGCTACTATTATTATTAGTTTTAATATTGTTATTGTTATTATTATCATTATTATTATTATCACATTATTATCATTAATTATTATTATTATTATTATTATTATCACATTATTATCATTAAACATTATTATTATTATTATTATTATTATTATTATTATCTCAAAAAAGACAAAGTCATACAACCTACAAAAAATTAGTGGGAAGCCGAGATACAATCTGGGCCCCCACTCCTCTAGCCATAGCAAAACCTATTCTAGTGAAGATATGAGCAGCAGCACGTGCCCCAATGTCTTGAGTTTTCGAGAACTTCTGGATCCGTTTCAACAATGCAACCGCCTCCTTCTCTAATTCCCCAAGTGTAGAGAAAGAGAAAGGAAGGAAGCCATATCCAATTGCTCGACAACTGGATTTGTACTTGACCCGCTTCCGATGAGTTGCATCAGCGCAGCCACAACCCGTCCAAGAACAAAGCCAGATAACCCAGATTGTGTCAAAGGAGAAGACTCTGTCAAGTCAACACAGACATCGCGACCACGATCCCAAGAATAAATAACACATCTGCAGGTCTGAGGGCCCCGTCGTTCCCTCTAGACAACCCAATGTCAACCTCTTTTCTAGCTGAAATCCCAGATCGATAACAAACATCAATAAGGGTATCCCGCACAACATTATGCCGATATTTAATACCCACTATAACAGCACACGACACCACGTGATCACCGAAAAAATTCCCAGTAAAAACCCTTGAACAAGCAGAGCACGGCCTCGAGACAAAGAATTATGGAACACCCAAGCGGTAGCACAACACACACCGGTAAGTCTTTGCGTTCATCGTCTGACCCAACCCCGAAATAGGAACCGCCCGAAGCCAAGCAAAGGTGTGATCTCCCTGCTGCGATTTCCACAATGCTGATTGACGAGGAGATAAGAGAGTGTGGATTCTACAAAATCGGTAACCTTTGTGAAATATATATCTGCCAATTTCTTCATGAGTTTAGGGGCAGCGACCTCACTAGGATTATTCAAAATGTCAGACTCCACCGTTCGATTGAATAGGCTCAACGCATCCTCAAAAGCTCGACCAAGACCAACAACGCCAGCATGTCGTAGAAGCTTTGTCTGCAACCCAGCAGACTGCAACCGTGAAGCAAGAAAAGCATATGACGAACATCACCTGCGGAATAAACACCAAGCCCGCCATACACGAAAGGTAAGGTGGCAAGCCGCCACTGCCAATCGCCAAACCCAGGCCCTATTATTATTGTTATTGTTATTGTTATTGTTATTGTTATTGTTATTGTTATTGTTATTGTTATTGTTATTGTTATTGTTATTGTTATTGTTATTGTTATTGTTATTGTTATTGTTATTGTTGTTGTTGTTGTTGTTGTTGTTGTTGTTGTTGTTGTTGTTGTTGTTGTTGTTGTTGTTGTTGTTGTTGTTGTTGTTGTTGTTGTTGTTGTTGTTGTTGTTGTTGTTGTTGTTGTTGTTGTTGTTGTTGTTGTTGTTGTTGTTGTTGTTGTTGTTGTTGTTGTTGTTGTTGTTGTTGTTGTTGTTGTTGTGATTATTGTTATGACTGCTACTATTATTATTAGTTTTAATATTGTTATTGTTATTATTATCATTATTATTATTAATATTATTATTATTATCATTAAATATTATTATTATTAGTATTATTATTATCACATTATTATCATTAAACATTATTATTATTATTATTATTATTATTATTATTATTATTATTATTATTATTATTATTATTATTATTATTATTATTATTATGATGATGATGATGATGATGATGATGATGATTTTTTTAGATTTTTTTACTGTTTTTATAACATTAGAATATGTGTTAAATAATATAAAATATTAATAATTACCACTAAATATTAGTTATTATTATCAATTAATATTATATATTAATTCTTCTTCTTCTTCTTCTTCTTCTTCTTATTATTATTATTATTATTATTATTATTATTATTATTATTATTATTATTATAAAATATTAATTATTATTATTAAATATTAATTATTATCTATAAATATTAGTAATTATTAATAAATATTAATTATCGCATTATTATCAGAAGAGCAGAGCAGAGCAGATTTCAACAGCAGAGCAAAAAAGAGTAGATTTTAGCAAA